GCACGACGTCACCCCCAGCGGGGGGAGCTCGGTCATGATACCTGAGCGGAGACGCCCCATTCGGCTGCATTCCAGGCTGGCTTTGCCCCCCTCCTCTGGCCCTGCAACTTTTCCTCTCCCCAGCCGTGGGAGGTCTCTCAGCCCGTTGAGGGGCATCGGCCTACCTCAGGGAGAGGGACCCTCTAGCTCGGCTCTAGCTGTGGAGAGGAGTGGGGTTATGTGCCTGGGGAGATGCATCTCCGGACTCCCTGTGCGAGGGCCCCTCTGTGCCTCAGTTTCCCTGGTGCCACGGGGCTCTTGCAAAGACCACATCAGAGCTGTTTGTGTCTCCCTCGGATACCGCGCTGGGCGCCCCGCAGAGAGGCCCAGGAGGCGACGGGCGTTCGGCGTGGTGCAGGCATGGAGGGGGCTGGGAAATACAGCTTGGGGTGCCCCCCCTTTCCCGGGAGAGGCAAGGGACACACTGAAGGAGGCAGGCTGCTGTAGAGAAAACAGTTTGTGATGGCAGAAGCTGGGGGCGGGGGTGGGATGCCCTGGGCCTTGGCAGTGCGTGGTCCGGCCTTGCCTCACGACTGGCGCAGGCAGTGCTGCGGGTCTCCCGGACCATGGGCCTTTCCCGCACACACGCGGCCACCCACATGCACAGGCGCCAAACCAGCTCCGTGCGGCTTCGGCGTGGGACAGCGCCCCCTGCTGGCAGGGCCGGGCTGAGGCCAGGCCCCCTGAGCCCCACACCCAGGGCTCACGGGCAGGGCCCGGATGTGTTCAGAGAACGCGCTGTGCACAGAGAGAGCCCGGCCGGGGGCAGGCACCGGGGCAGACGCTCGGTTGGGCACCAGCCCCTCGGCACCGCCCTGGCGGCATGTTCTGGGGGGGTGCAGCTGGGACGTCAGGCCTTTTGTTGCCGGTGTCAGGTGTTGGGAGGCCAGGGGTCAGGAAAGCGGCTTCAGGCCCGGCAGGCAGAGGGCAAAGGGGACTTTCCCCGAACCCAGGCTGCCTCCGCAGGGTGCGGTGGGTGTTGGGGGCAGGGTGGCTATAGCACTAGGGTTCCCAGGTAGCGGCATGTTCTGGGGGGGTGCAGCTGGGACGTCAGGCCTTTTGTTGCCGGTGTCAGGTGTTGGGAGGCCAGGGGTCAGGAAAGCGGCTTCAGGCCCGGCAGGCAGAGGGCAAAGGGGACTTTCCCCGAACCCAGGCTGCCTCCGCAGGGTGCGGTGGGTGTTGGGGGCAGGGTGGCTATAGCACTAGGGTTCCCAGGTAGCTTCAAAAAAAAAACCACCGGACACACTTGATGCGGGAGGGAGAAGGGCTCCGGCTGGGAGGGGAGCAGGGCTGGCCGGGAGGAGGGGAAGGACGGGCAGCAGGGCTGGGGAGTGGGGTCGGGGGCAGCGGAGCTGGCCGGAGGAGATGGGGGGCAGCCGGCGGGAAGCAGGGCTGGCCGGGGGAGATGGGAAGGAAGAGAACCAGCCAGCTGGGTGGGGAAGAGGGGGAAGAATTGGCCGGCGGGGAGCAGGACTCACCCGGAGGATTATGGACTTGTTTACATCTTTAAGAAAAAGGACTGTGAACTAAAAGAGCCGTGTAAGCTGGGAACGCTGCCTCTGCACACAGTGCCAGATAAGGAAAAGTAACACGGGAAGGATCTAAGCAAGGACAGATAAGCCCTTCGGGGGTGGGTGTTGGGGTGCAGTGGCGGTGGCTGGGGGGGTGGGAGACTCACCCGGAGGATTATGGACTTGTTTACATCTTTAAGAAAAAGGACTGTGAACTAAAAGAGCCGTGTAAGCTGGGAACGCTGCCTCTGCACACAGTGCCAGATAAGGAAAAGTAACACGGGAAGGATCTAAGCAAGGACAGATAAGCCCTTCGGGGGTGGGTGTTGGGGTGCAGTGGCGGTGGCTGGGGGGGTGGGAGTTGTGCGCTACGGGGTGGGTGTTGGGGGCAGAGTGGCTGTAGCGCTACGGGGATGAGATGCTTTGTGACCTTTCACACGTTATTGGCTTACGTGCTCATTTCATCATTGCTTCTCCTCCGTCTATCTGCCGCCTATATAACCCATTGTAATGTTTTGTTTAACCAGTGTTCACCAGGTTAACCCCTGGCTGGCACGCCAGCAGCGCTGGGTGTGATAATCCTCGGACTTTTTATTTTCACCTGATCCAGCTGTCCAGAATTATTCCCGACACTTTGCTTAGGGTCTGTCTAGGCTACAAGGTTTTTTCGAAAAAACTGTACCTGTATCTAGACAACCACCGCTTTCTGTCAACAGTAAATCGACAGAACGTGGCGGTTTTGTGGACTGCAGTAAACCTCGTTTTATGAGGAATAACGCCTTCCTTCCAAAGTGTTCCTTCGAAAAAACGTGCTATGTAATGCAAACTGCGCTTTTCCTGCAGTAAACCTCGTTTTATGAGGAATAACGCCTTCCTTCCAAAGTGTTCCTTCGAAAAAACGTGCTATGTAATGCAAACTGCGCTTTTCTGAAAGAGAGCATCTAGACTTTCTTTTGGAAAAGCGGCTTCCTTTTTTGACAGAACTGATGGTAGTCTAGACACTCTTTTTCGACAGGCTTTTTCGAAAGATACTGTCAAAAGGCGTAAAGTTTAGACGTAGCCTTAGTGACTTGGTTTGCTCCGTGTGCTGTCACTTGCAACCACTCAACTCCTGTCTTTTATACTTAATAACCCCTCTTGTGTTTGTTAAAAACCTAGTGCAGGACTTGGTGTCTGGGCGCTGGGTGGGGGGTTGAGCCGCTCCGTATCTCTCGTTATGTACACAAGAGGGTGACCTATATGAGCGTGCGGTGGCTAAAACTCTAAGCAGCGTCAGATGGATTTATTTGGGGGTTCAGGTCCCTTCAGGCCTGCCCACCTGGGCACCGTGGCACGTCCCTGTGACTGAGCCTTCCTAGAGCTGAGCTGATCCCAGTGTCTGTGGAGGGAGCCAACACGTACAACCTACTGGGATATTTTTCTTCACTCAGTGCACAGTCAACCTGTGGAACTCCTTGCCAGAGGATGTGGTGAAGGCCAGGGCTTTAACAGGGATTAAGAAAAGAGCTAGATTCATGGAGATGAGGTTCATCAATGACTATTAGCCAGGATGGGTGGGAATGGTGTCACTCTGGAGACGGGTGATGGGGGAGGGATCATGTGAGGATTCCCTGTTGTGTCCCCTCCCACTAGGGCACCTGGCCCTGGCTAACATGGGCAGACAGGACACTGGGCGGGATGGGCCTTTGCTCTGACCCTGTACAGCCGTTGTGATGCTCTTATAAGCCGAGGGGTCTGGCCCAGCAGGACCGGGCGGTGGGGTGCCCCTCAGGGCAGACAGGTAGTATTTCAGCCCATCAGGTGACAGGCGGCGGGGGG